TTAAAAAAAAAGGGAAAGATTTGATCTTGATATGTATCTTCTTCTTGTTGTTGTACCTTGACTGGAATTGCGTTTTATGGTTAGGTAATGCTTAGGAATAAAATCTTACAGGCCCTTTGGGCCTAATATAGCCCAATACTAATGAAGCTAACTACGCTGACGTTATTGTATGTAATGCACACCCCATCAAATGCAATGACTTCCGCAAATCATGTCCTGCCACGTGTAAAAATACTAAAAAGCCCATTGAGCTTTCTAAATTACCCACCTCCTGTAATTTCTCAAGGCCCAACTAAAACTTGGGCTAAAGTTTAGCCGCTAAACGGCATCTCCTGCGAAGCTCTGCCGTTTCTCTCCAAGAGACGTCGACGACGTGCCGTTTTGTTTATCAGCGCTTGATTTTTTTGAAACAAGAGAAAAAACTGTGCAAAAGCTACGCCTACTATTTTCAGTTAAAAATATTTTATGAACATTGATATTATAATCCCGGTTTGGTCGGTTATAAACATGATGAGTTTTGTAATCAACAAACTTTTGTATCCCAAACCAGGTTTGAATCTGTATTTAGAGAGATGTATTCATTTTAGCTAGCTAAAGGATATGATTGGGTCAAATATAATTGAGTTAACGATTTGGTGAACTTTTGAATATAGAAAAAAACAAACTTTGGTTGTCTTTTATAGAAAAAATAATTACTAAGCTAGAAACATTTGTATAACACGTGGGTTGTTGTCAAAGACAAGACTGGAGAGAGTGGAATCATGGGCACATGGGGTGATGTCCTTGCTCGTGTCCCAAGTTGCAAAGTTGCAGCTTTTTTTGTGGTCATTTTATAAAACTCAAGAGTCATTTTGGCATCGAACTGATCAAATCGAGAAAGCGTGGGGCCAAAGCGGAATATTCCAATTATCGACCTGCTCTTATATAAATATATATTAGTTATTAATTAATTAACATTTTTGAAATACATGAATGAGAAAAGCTGCATCACTAACATGACGAAATCAGAAGTTTACTGTTTTTACATTTGGAAAAAAGAGACACAACAAGCAACCAGAAGAAGCAACTCTTTCTATGAAAGATGCTTTGTCCAATCCTCCTTTTTATAAGCTACAAATACAAAATACACACAAATCTCAACACCACAAAATTAACAAGTCAATATCATTTTTTTTTTATTAGAAAAAGAACCTTTTTTAAGGGGTGCAGGCCAAAGAATCTGGACCGTAGATTTCGGCATCAGAGATCATCTCAGCCATCTCCTAAAGTCACTAGTGGAAGAAGGTGAGATTTCCCCACCAAGACTCTCAGTACAACATGAAGAGTAGTTCGATTGCTGCTCCATCGCCCCGAAACGGGACCCACTCGCACTCTTAAAGCTCGGACTCCTCAAACTGTAGTTGTTGTTATTACCATAATGCCCTCCGCTGTGCTCCGGCGGCTGAGGCACCGGAAAAGACAGCCGTTTCCTGGCCGCCGAGCCGGCTCGATCCTTCTCCGGCGTTGAAGGGCGTGGCCTGGGGGCGCTCTGTGATCGGATCCTGGCTTTAGCCGACTCGGTCGTGGCCATGTAGTTGGGCAATGTAGCCGTTGCGCTGGTGCTAAGCGTAGTGCTGCAGCCACTTCGGCTGGTGAAACTGTAGTTAGACCTCAGACTCGGAGTGTTGGATGTGTATTGGTAGGACCGGTCGTCTCTCTGGCACCGCGGGCTCGCCGACCGTACTTGCATTGGCCTGGACTTGGCTGGGGATGGCGTGGCCGGTAACTGGTGGTGGTGGTGGTGGCTCGTTCTTGATGGAGAACTGGGCCTCTGGTTAGGATGGCTATGGCTCGGGGTTCTGGGTCTGGTGTAACTAGGTGCAGCCAAGTAAGAGTAAGGTTGGGAAGTGTCCATCTCCACCGTTTTGACAGGAACCCTCTGGTCCGTGGAAGCTCTGGCTCGGTTATCCCATGGCCTTGAAGCCATCCACCGGTCAAGCCATTTCGGTCTCTCCTCGGGCTCATAGTATTCCCCCGCGGACTGGCTTCCGCCCGATCTCCACATCTTCATCGCAAGAATGTTCATATTCACTTGAGAGTCTCGTCATTAGATGATATGATCGTAGAAATATTTTGACTTTACCTGCTGAGAGAAAGCATGGGAAAGGTCGACAGTTAGTGTCTCGTCTTTGTTGTAACATAGCTTTCACTTCCTCAATCGTGTGCGGCCGCTCATCCCAATCCTCCGCGATGCTACTTCCTTCTCTTGACTACACATATCAAAACGTTGTCCTGATCAGACAATATCTGAAGTAAAAGCCTTCCTTAATCCATGTTTCAGAATAATGTCCTTATGTTACATGATCCATATGATGAGAACTCACCATGGATTTCCCGTCGGATATATCGGGGAAATAACGAGAGTCGAAGACGCTGTGAGTGTCGCTGAAAGCGGATTTACGGCTGCCGTCGTGGGACAAGCGCTTACGCTGGTCGAGGACTCGGGCTTGGACACGAACCAGAGCTTGCATGCACCTCAATGTCATCTTGGCTTGTTTCCTCACATTGTGACCCCTCACCAGTGCCTGTAGCTTCACCAGCCCTTTCAATGCCCTCAACGCTCTTCTTGCCTTTTTTTAAAAAAAAATCATATTCAAAACATTAATCATTTACACAAAATCCTTAACCAGTTAAAAAAAACTACTATATTTGACATTTTTACTGGAGGGTTTGATCATATATTTTGTTACATTCTCAGATCCAACCGCATACTCAATATGCATTTAATAGCCATCAATATCAATAAAATTTTCTACACCACCACCTCATTGATTATATTAAAGAAGGAGAACATTTACACAAATGACAATAATGGAAACATCGTTAATTATTGGATTATCACATAAATGACAAAACACTGTAACAACAGGGAGTATATGAAAAATAACAGTTATATGCGATTATTAAAGTAATTATATATTCTCCAGTGACTACTGAAATGCTTTAGGCAAATTATATAATAAATCTTGTGATTTGCTCACCAGATATCCTCTGAAAGCGGTTTGGATAACAACAGCCGCATAAAGTTCTCTTGCATGATACGTCCGCCTCGGTACCTCCGCCGGCGCTGCCGACACAGCCGCCACGGCAGCGCCGACTCCGGCGTTGGGGCAAATATAATTGAGTTAACGATTTGGTGAACTTTTGAATATAGAAAAAAACAAACTTTGGTTGTCTTTTATAGAAAAAATAATTACTAAGCTAGAAACATTTGTATAACACGTGGGTTGTTGTCAATCCACCGTCTCTTCTCTCTCTTCTGCAAAAAACAGAGAAATGAATTAGAAAGATAAATAAAGCTCTGAAATCAAAACGCTGAAACGCGGCCTGAGAAATGTGTTCGAACGAAATCGGTGAACAGAGTCAAAGATCTCGACTTCTTCGGAACCCAGAAGCGACGGACCTTTTCCTCGTCGTCTTCGACATCGTTAGCGTTATGAGCGTTATGATCTTTCTTGGTGGGAGATCGGAAGGCTCGTTTGACGGCGGTGAGCCACGAA